ATTTAACAATACCCCCGGTATTGTTCAGAGAAATTTGATTAGAAAACTGATTCAACTGTTTCAAGTCTATGAAAATAAGAACTTTATCTCTTAACTTTAAATTTGTGTATGTTTTTTGCAGCGGTTAATACGTATGAATATGCCAGTGGCAGAAGACAAAACAGTACATTTTACAACAACCTTAAGTGCATTGATACGTACTGCACTTAATATCAAAATAACCAAAGGTGAGTGAAAATATTTCTATATGCAAAGTAGTATATACTTAGTGTTTTAAATTATGTGTTTGGCTTTGTCATATAGATTCGATGTCATGATAGAGTACTAGATTTATCACAAAGAGTCAGGTTTATCAAATCACTGTGTGTCATTTTTAATGAATTGCGTATAGCATATAGTGTGTACGATGTGCATCAAATCTAACTGAAAAATACAGTTTTTATTCATTATTATCTTCCTGCATATAATTTTGTTTGTGTTTTCCAGTTGCTGAACAAGATCAGGCAGATGAAGAACTGCGACGTGCAATCAAGAACTTTTGGCCCCACCTATCTAACACAAAATTAAATTTATTAGTACCCCAAAATAGTGGTAAGTTTTACAAAAAGACAGTAATGATATCAAAAACCATGATGAAATCAAACTGAATCAAACTAATAGTCTTGATGTGCTGGCGCAAAAAATGTTCCAAGAAGTGCATCTGCTAATTATTATGAAAATCTAAAACGCTATTTTAGTAAAAAAACAATGTAACAGTTACTGGATATCATTCAAACTGATGTATATATGACCAGCAAAAAACCAATTTTTATACCCTGTCCAGACGAAGGCTCATAGATTTGGTTCCTTCTGTCTGTTCTGTCTATTTGTGTCACATCATAACTCCAAAACTTTGATTTGAACAACAAAATTCTTGGACAACTTGTCTAGTGTAATGTGCAGCAGCTCTTTACACAATTTTTAGATAAAAACATAATTTTTGTGCAAAAATAGACTGACAGTGATGTTCTTGGCAATACATTGACCAATTTTATTCGAACTTCAGATATAGGTAATAAACAATACATTCCATATGTTGATAGGCACAATTTCACAATAAATGTTTTTTAAGGATCTCATTTGAGGTCAAAAGTTAAACTTGTAATCAGCATTCAGGAAGTTTTGGAAATTCAATACAATTCAGTGGCTTGATGACACTAAGTTGCTGAAGTCACAACTGGATCCACAAAACTGCTCTGTGATATGTGATAATTGACTATAAACTTCTGATGTGGATATTCTGCAAATACCGTAGTGGTTACATTTATTACTTTACATTTGAAAGGCTTTTAAACACAATTTTACTGACAGTATAACAATAGATTGTACAGGGCTATGTAAATGATTTGTTTGAAATAAATTAAAAACTTGTTTTTTCTATATTTTTTTTTATTTCAGAATTAGTTTATCCCAACTTATCAGTAGGAAAGATATATGCTTCTTTATTAATCTATGAAACGTGGAGAGAGTACAAAGCAAAATTATCCAAGAATATTCATGCAAGATCGGTAAGTATAGTGAGAAATTGGGAAAAAACATGTAAAAAGTTGTCTTACAATGAAATGGGTTTATGAAAACAATTCTAGAATCCTGTGTGAGGAATCCTGTCCTTGTATTCAGTTGTGTTTTTGAAGAGGGAGATTTAAAAAATTTGCAGTATTATTAATATTGTCTTGTTTGTTTGTTTGTTTCTATCATAATGAACATTTATTGAAGAAAACATAATTTGTGTATAACAATAAAAGTTTTTTAATGACTGAATTTCTGTGCAAATGTGTGACAGTATGTTTCAAAGAAGTAGAATGTGTGTGTAATTTGCTTTTTGTTGAAATAACTTGCTCCACATTGCAAGTCTAAATGGTATTTTTATAGTGATGAACCAGGTTTAATATCTAGAAAATCTTCTTTTTAATACTGATGTATCACATAAATACTTTTATGTTTGTACATTTTCAACTATAAGGGGTCAGTATAATCAATATGTGAAACTACCGGTACCAACCACATGTTGGTACACATATCATCCTAGTGTCTTTCATACTTAGTATAGTAAGATTTTCTTTTTGATGCTGAATATCACAGTGTTTATTTTTTCTATATATACACTGACCTATTACTCTATAATCTTTATCTCTTTCTGTTTCTTGTCAGCAAACATTTATTCTTACAACTCTCTCTCTTTCTCTCTATGCACATTTATTCACAGTTGTACTCTTGAATACTGACTGGATCTGTGATCTAACAGTCAGAACAATTCTTATATTATTATTTTTTTCAATTTTAATTTTTTTTAAACGTTTTCAAATAAAATATTTCTCAATTATTACATTACATTATATACTAGTAATATGAATTAGTAAACATTCTACAATACTATCCTGAATTATTTTATAGTTACTCAATATCATTAGAAAATTTTCTTCTTTATGCTAGGGAAGACAACAGGTCTGAATTACTCATAAAATTATTAAAAATAAGGAGCAATTATTTGAATAAATCAGAGCTTTTCTAGTTTGACCACATTACACTTTCTATTAATACAACTATAAACAAATCCATCTGCATTTTCAAGTGTTCCCCTTCTGAGAGTTTGGACAGGATAACAGTGTGAGTAACTTGGGATCTTAAATACCCAGTTATCTCAATTTGACCACATATCCTTAATAAATTACAAATTATTTGCCACATAAACATCAGTGTGTACAGGATAATACATCATCAGTAGGTCTACAACCATACTTGAGGAATCTAGTA